TTTTTTTACTTTTTGTCTGCTGTCTCTGTAACTCTCTACCTTCTCTCTCTTTAACTTTTTACTTCTCTTAACACTGTAGAAATTGAAAAACGCAAACTGATACTCGAAAGAAAGCACAATTTTGTGCGACACTAGCACCCAAGCTTTCAATGGCCCCAAGTGGTTCTTTCATTTTTTGAATTATTTTTTATTTACTCTTCTCTCTTTCTCAAAATACCAAAGTGTTGGAATTTAATTGCTCCATTGATAAACTTTTTTTAAGTTTCTAATTTGTTTGTGTTAGAATCTCTACTGTTCCAAAAATCTTTGATTTCTCTTTTTTTTTTTTTTGACAAATAGCAAGCAAAAATTCTTGTAATTTTTTTTTGGGTATACATTGTAGGTTTTTTGCATACCTCTTCACCGGTTTTTGTAAATTTATTTTTTTACGGTCACGCTTTTCTCTGAAAAGCGAAAACTGAAATTGTTAGTGGTATACATTATAGTTAAAATATATGGAGATTTTATATATTACAGCTCCGTTGAAAACGCAAAAGCCGTTAATTCCGTCCGAAATACTATTGGGTCATCGTTGTCGTTGTCTTCGTTATCGTCGATGACATCGAAATCTACATTGTTGGCCGGAGAGATAGGGGTTAGAGGGCCGGCGTTTGTATTCGTGGTGGATGGGTGTTTGGATGAAGATGAGTTGAGAGGGCTTAAGAGTGAGTTGTTGCGATTGGTGGAACAGTTGCCAGAGAGCGCATTGGTTGGGTTAGTTACGTTTGATGCAATGGTGAATGTGCATGACCTTGGGTTTTCGGAGTGTTCGAGGGTTGTCGTGTTTCATGGTAATCAGGAGCTTTCTTCAGAGCAGGTAATGAGGATTGGAAACTATAGAAAAGCTCAACACTTCATTTTTCTATTTGTTGGATTATTAGTTTTGAATAGTTTGTTCTTGTAATTACTTATGAAATGAGAGTGTTGACTGTTTAAGTAGTGAGAGTAGCTGATGGGATGAGTGCAAGTCCAAAATGATGCTTTTGCCTAACCTGCTCAAGCTTCCTGTACTAGGCTCCTAGCACCCTGCTTTTGTCGGAACATTCTTAGTTTTGATGTGATATAAATAATTCTGTTCCGTACTTCAGATACAAAAGTTTCTTGTAAAGAGTCCTGTTAACCAAAAATCAGAGTTTTCTGCTACCCATATCTGAATGTGAGTTCAATATGACATTTGCAATCGAGGAGCTCCATTCTTCTGCGCAGGTGACACCGGGCCCTTGGCTTCTAAGGTCAACAGAAGTGGCAACATCAACTGCACTAGGACTTTTGGAAAGATGCTTGGTTAACACTGGGTCCAGGATCATGGTCTTCACATCTGGACCTGCTAAAAATTAGTATTTAGTTGAGAAAATAGTATTTACACTATTATTAAATTTTTTTACTAAATTTAGTGTCATGAGTAAAATTATATCAACTTTAGTTGAGAAAATAATCAACAAAATTAAAAAATATATATTATAATAAATATAAAATTGGGACAGTTATTTTTTATATTTCATTGACAAAATTACAAAATTATTTACTTTTACATAAAAAAAAAACCTATTTAACTTATCTTTTAATTATTAAAAAAGAAAAACATTCGGAGGTGTGTCAAATTTTAATTTTTTTATTATAAGTTATTTTTTTAGTACAATAAGATAAGCTAATTTTTTGGATTAAATAAAATTAATTATTATAAATAATATAATTTAAGAGTAAAATGATTGTCTAGTTTTTATTTTTATTTTTTATAATAAATTTGCTTGGATACTTTACATAACCATAGAATTAAATTTAAAAATTATTTTGAATAAAAAAAAGAAAACGAAATATATTGAAATTTTAATAAAAATTAAAAAATTAAATAAATAAAACTGACCGTAAGAAAAATTATATATAACGTATATATATATATATATTGTTCAATTCAAAATTATCAGAAAAAACAGTGACAATATTAATATATTTTAGGAACACCAATGGTATTTTAGTCTTTAGGTAACTTTTTGGATGTGTCCTGAAAATTGGGGCCATGCAACAGAAAAAGAGCGAAAAAAAAGAGATGACTTGAATATTCGGTTGCCGGTTTTTAGTTGAAAAAATGTGGAAACGTGGCTTCATGTACGAGGGAGTGATGGAGGGCGACAGCAGCTACGAGTGCCACTAGCATTCCCCAGGTTGAAGTAGTAGATTAAATATTGTAAATTAGTTATTTTGCATGAAATTTAATAAAATAATTACTATTTTTATCGAAATATATAATATTATTTAACATAAACAAATTTCTTTTCATGAAGCTAATAGTACTATGTTGCCAGTGACAGATTAGAATTCCTTTTTAGTAATTGTGGATTGTTATAGGATATTGGATAGTGAGAGTGAATAAACTAGTAGAGAACAGGCCTTGAATGCACGCTTCCAAGTGCTAGCAGCCCCATGGCTGCTGTAGAGGGCAGCAAGCAGTAGGACTAGCTGCTGCCAAATGCTCTGCTTCTGCATTTTATTTCCCATTAAACTATTTTTTTTCAGTTTTTGAATAACAGGATGAAAACTGATTGCGTTTCATTTTGGTTTGTTATTCTGGTTTTCGTTATGCAAATATCTTTGTTTCTCCCAGTTGCGAAGTTTGATCTCCGTTATTTTAGGTGTCATCTATCAAAGTAAACATTGCTGCATTCCCATTAATGGCTCCTTGTCAACTATTGCGGTTCCAAGGGGGGGGGGGGGGGGGGGGGGGGTTGAGTCGGTAAACAATTAAACATCTTTGTAGGAGTGGCAGTGTTAATTTCGTGTTTGTATTTTCTTCTTCTGCTTTTTGTAACTTTTTGTACTCACTATCGCATGTTTCCCTGCTTTATTTTGGATGAATATATTCAACTATTCACCAGAGAGAACGAATGAGATATGAAACTTTTATCAGTTTTATTTGGTCTTAGAGATTTAGCCTCCCTTTTCTCCGGTGAAGATTTGCACTATTTACATTTTTTTAACATGGTTGAAGAGCAAGTTCTGGTGTGTCAATTGAGTTAAATACACCAACAAATGATTGGTACAATTGGCAAGTATCATCTTTCTCAACGTAAAGATTTTAAGTTCAAATCGAATTAGTAGTCGCTTGTTAGAATTATTTCAAATACATGATTTTTAGTTATTTGTCTTAAGTGTATATATTATCTTAATTTAAGAGACTGAATAATTTATTTTCCTCTTTTTTTTTTTACCAAAAAAAAGTTGTTTCCCTTTGCATTCCAAGGTATCAGATTTGCTAGGAATTGAGTTCCAACTTTGTAGAAAACCATTTTCTAAGAGGTGTATAAATCATTTGTTAGACATCTCCTAACTCCAAATTGGTTTTCTAAGGAGGCCAAGGCTTATGAGGAATTGGAAAAGAAAAATTCACAAGAATCCAACTCCAACCTTATGAGAAACATCTTCTAAAAGAGGTGAGTGAACCATTTGTTAGACATCCCCTAAATCCAAATCTAGAATTTGTAAATGTCTGATGGCCTTTATCAATACACACCATCTATGTTCTCAAAGAAAAGATTGTTCCTTTTTGTATCCTGTTTGAAATAAGATCAACTCCTCCGTTCCTTCTACAAACACAAAAGAAGGCTCACTCTCTCCATATACTGATATGCAATCACAATTCACTAGTTCACTTCCATATAAAAGCTACCTATAAATATTATGATTTCGACAAATTTTTCTTTATCAAGTACAATTGGAGGAAGGGGAATTCAAACATGTTTCTTTGAGAGATTTTGGTGTATGATTTTGATCAAGTGCAAAGAAAAATAACACAAAAAAATAACTATTAGCATTTGATTGATTATATGAATTTCTTTTAACATGTAATAACGTAAAACTATACAATAAAAGATAACTCTAATTTCACATCTGGATCTCCAAAATCCGAACCTCGAGTTCTTGACAGACTTGGGTGTTTCTTGGAGGCCAAGAAACCTAACTAATTCTTCACTAACTGATTAACTACTATTCAATAATTCAATCAAAGAGCTAGATTTAGATCAATCAACATACCACCAACAGCTTTCTCTGCCGATGGATTGTTCATCAACTCTTTCATCTCAGCCTTCTTAACTGCTTCCTTCTTTGCCCCTTCCACATGTTGCTTCTTCCGCAACTTCATCATCCCATTACCAGAAGTTGATTTCAAAGAGCCTTTTCGTGTAACATAACGATGGATAACGGTATCCGAATTCGGAAACATGGATACTTTCCCTTTCTCTGAGATAGTAACAATGGCGACTCGTGCCCCGCATAAGGTTGAAAGTTCAGTAGCTTTCTTGAACAAATTCCCTCTACGTTTGGAGGTGGCTATTCTACTCACTTTTATCTTCGCCACAGCCATAGGAAGCAAAACCAAGAGCAAAATATATATATTTCAATGAAATACGAATTGATTGTATTTTCCAAAAAAAAAAAAAATTTATAGTCTGAAAATAAGAGAAGAAGAAAAGATTACAAGTGATTTAATAAAGGTTTTCACAATATAGATTCGAATTTGATAAGATATATATATGAGTATAATTTTAGGTTTTAAGGTTGTCCTTGTAGGAGTAGGATTACAACTTTTTCTAGATTTTTAAGTTTATTAAAATGGTAAAACTGCTTGTGCATGAAGTAAAAGGAGAAAAAAAAGGGTACTTGCCATATATTTTTTTTATTTCTTTTCTTAATTGGTTTAAATCTTTCCTAAATTTTCTTATGGGATCATATTCAAAAACTAGTTGGTAAAAAGTCAATAGAACTGTCTTTCTGCAAAGCCATTAGAATCCTAATGGGACAAGGAAAAACCATAGCTTTTTACCTTGTATACATTGTTATATATATGTAAACCTTTATCCTCCTAATGCCTTCGATCCCAAAGCCTAAAAGATAAAAACCCATAGTTTAGTTCTCTCTGTTTTTGTTCTTCGTAGTTTCAATTTTCAGCTTTGATAGTATTAGCCATGTACGCAAGTACGAGTAGTAAAAGACCAAAAGGCCGCGGTCGAAGAAAGATTGAGATCAAGAAAATAGAGAACCAACGGAAACGATGGGTAGCTTTTTCTAAAAGGAAGAAGGGTTTACTAAAGAAAGCTGCCCAATTATCAATGCTGAGTGGGGAAGAGATTGGTGTTATCATAATTTCAGAACAAGGAAGGGTTTATACTTCTGAGAATGCTGATTGTGTTGTTGAACGTCTTCTGCTCTCTCAAAACATTATCAAAGATGATGATAATGATGATAATGATGATGATGTTGATGATGACATGATTGATGATGACGACATGATTGATGATGATGAGAAAGACGATGATAATCAAGGTGGATTTTGGTGGAACCATCCGGTTGATTTTGTGAAGATCAATGATGGGAAACAGAATTTAGCACAGATTAATGAAGATGGAGAGAATTTGCAAGGTTTGATGAAGAAAGAAGAAGATAGAATGAAGAAGATGAAGAGTATAAACTGCTTGATTGATCTAAATAAAGCTCCTGATGAGCAGTTTTCTTGAAAAGGCAGCAAAGGGTTTTTGTTAATGTTGGAATAGTTCTTTGATAATTCAATTACCATTGAGTAGGGAATAGATTTTCGTAGCTGCATTCATGGTTAGATTTCTAGTATTAGTTTCAGTTATCAGGCAACTTGCAAATCAATCCAGACATATTTGTAAATCTGGTATTGTGTTTTTGTAATTCTTGGGTACTGGCAGGATTTGTTTTTTACTGGCTACATTTTCAAGAAATTTTAGTTATTGCTATTTTCATGTATTAGAAAATATTGTTATTGATAAGTAAAGCTCATTACACATCTCAATCGGCAGAGGCTGCAACTCCGGCTTTGCTAATAAAAAATCATCATTAAACAACAAAAGTAAACCAGAAAAGAATCAACTCCAGTAGCCTTCTTCAATCCGAAAACAGAACAAAAAAAAAAATGGTGGAAAAGAAACAGAATGTTGTTCATGAAGAATAAACTCAAATTCTAGTAACCATTAGGGACTGAGATAGGTTCAGAGGTGAAGAAGAAAGGCCCCACGGAATACAATTTTGAATGCTTCTCATTGAGAACTCGATAGCTGACAGAAAGAGGAGCACCAGTAATCCCTTTGTTGACATTTGTTGGAACATTGCAGGTTTCCAATGGAGACCTTTCAAGGAATGCTTTGCAATCTTTAAGCTTAAAGACTTATCTGCCACACTTAAAGACGACACTGTTGCAAAGAAGTAACCCTTTGCATCAGTTGGTACACTGCAAATAGGTAGAGTTTTCTCGTGTCCAATCTCATCAACAGCTTGACATGTTACCTTCGCTAAAGCCCCTGCAATCACAGGAAATTAAGAAATTTATTAGTAAAAATATGAATGACAGTGAAGCTGAATACTTAATTTTAGTCGAAGTCACAATTTAGAAAGAGATATTACCTTGAATTGGATAGTGCTTGGGACCTGATTTACATAAAACAAGCCCTTCAACAGCACTGGACCAAAGCTTTTCTTTTTCTTCTGGCTCTGGCTTGTAATTGTTTTGTTTTGTGCCATAATTGGGCTCTTCTTCTCCTTCTGGTTTCCGATCGTAACCAGGTTTCTCTTCGGGATTTGGCTTGTAAATGACTGGTTTTTCACCATAATCAGGCTTTTTCTCTCCTGGCTTTGAACCATACTCAGGCTTTGCTTCTCCTTCTGGCATTTGCCGAGGGCTATCAGCTGGGATTCCATGATAACCATATTTAGATGAATCATTACCATAATCAGCAGCAAAAGCAATGACTAGCAATGACAAGAGAAGCAATGAGAAAGGAACAAAGAAGCGAGTGAAAGCCATGACAATATCTTCCAATACAACTAATCTGCAATGTAAATTATAAAGCCGAAAAGAGAAAGAAATATGGATGGATGAAGTGTAGGGCTGTCCTCCAATGCCTTTTATAAGGAGAAAATTGGGTCCAACATAAGACATAAATGATAAATGCTTGCCAATATTAGTAAGATTAAGAAAATAAAATACAAAAAATAAAAAAGACCTTGGTTACTCGATTTATGGCATGCGACGTGTTGTGGACTTGCCTGGCACTATTGGTTAACGGGCATGAATGCCAACATTACAAACATTATGCCTTGCACACAGTTATCATATCTAAACCCCTGAATCAAACAAATATGTTTTTAACAGTTTAGGCTAATTAAATAAATTTTAAATGAGAATTCAAAGATTTGGTTGGTGCATGATTCCCTTTTATAAAAACTTGAATTCAAATCCTCAAATCCTCAAATCAAGATATATATATATATATATATATATATATATATAAGGTAGGAGGTCAATAATCGTATTTGTTAGTAGAATGTTATAATTTTTGTTCCAATAATTAAGGTTTAATTTTTGACAAATTCAAATATGTATAAAAAAAAAGTTGCATATGAACAATTTGCTAATATTGACATTTTTTATACTCTCAATTTGTTTGCTTTGGAAAATAAAGAAAAAAAAATTAACCATATATATTCTTAATAATTTATTAAATTAAATATTTTATCCTTAAATAATAATTTTTATGAAATTAAAATATTAACTAATTTTTATTTTTTTCTTATTAACATTGAAATTCTCGTTCTTTTACTTAAATGATGTCTGTATGCAAACATATGCAAACTTGAATTAAAACTCATAATCAATTTCAAAATCACATTACCTGCCAAATTGCTTGATATCCAAAAGTGAATGTTCAACATATATCGAACCTCAATTAATTAATTATTTTTTAATAACATTGAAGCTTTTAATTATTAAAGCACATTTTTAAATTGATAATTTTTTAATTAAATTAAATATTCTTCATTTATTTGCTTATTAACTTGAGATTTTTTAATATAAATTAAGAATTAATGGATCTTTTTCTCCTTTATACCTAATTAATTGCTTAAGCTTGAATCAAAGACTTCTAATTTTTTCAAAAAGAAAAAGAAACAATCACTAGTTTGCTTAGTAACTAACATAAAGGATGTAGACATAACGAAAAGATAAATGTAAATTTTGAAATAACCTAAATTTTTATTGGGGCACCATTGAAAGAAGAAAAGAAAACAAAGCAACATCTATTACTAAAGTCTTGGTTTAGTGATAAGAAAGAATTCTTAAAACCTTGAGGTCTTAAATTTAAATTTTACTGTGTGATTTTGGTTTTATTTGTATTTTAATTTGTTAGTTATTATGTTTATTTGATTATTCAATAATTTTTTATACATAAATATACTACTTGATTATGTTAGTGCAAAAACTGAAAATCTAAAATTTTTGTTTTTGGTAAATTTGAAATTTTGAGGAAAAGCTCCAAAGCATATAATGGTGCCATTTTCCTTAAAATTTTATTCACTCCCACCATGTTATTTACTTAGTTGGTGTGTGTAAGGGTTGCAAGCAATAAACCTTCAGTATATAATAAAGTTTAGTGATTGATTACATTTTGTACTAACGAAATTAGTTTATCGAGTATTTACCGGCTTATTACAAGTTCATCGATCTTGTATAAGGTTTTTTGTAGCAAAACTTTAAAAAGGAATTCTAGAGTTTATTGAAAAAAAAAGGGAGAGTTCTGAAAATTGTTTCTGTATATTCTCAAAAAATCAATAGAGTTTATATAACCAATTAAGTGTTTGTTTATTCTACAGACATATAACTGTCTATTTTGAATAGAGAGAAATTGTCCGTTTTTTAACAGTTAAAAACTGTCTATTTTAAACAAACATATCTATTTGTTTTGTATAGACTGCTTATTAATCTATCTGTCTACTTTGGACAAACTTAATTGTCTATCTGTTTTAGACAGACTTAACTAATTAGACACTTAATTAAATAAAAAGTTTTAAAAAATAACATATTATTTTATTTACTACACTATACATATCAAGTACCAACTACCATTAATTAAATATTAATATTAATTATTTAATTAATGCAAGACCTATAAAGCTTGAAAATTCAAGCCCATCAAAGCTTGAAAATCCAAGCCCATGGTCCATTATCCACTTAAGTCAACTACAGTGGACTTTTACTCCTCTTAATTTAAATGATTATCTTATTTGCTCTTTTTCCAATGTGGGATTATTTCCCATAATTTATTTTGAAATTTCTAGCAATCTCTCACCATTTTCAAAATAATCCAGTTTTATAATGATTTTGGAAATGAATTACATAAATGAAAGTATTTTTTGATTTGAACCTTCATTTAATGAAAACAAGTTAAAGTTAACCGAAATCACATGGTAGACTGTGCTTTGAACCAGCTATTTCATATGGTTAACTGAACTTGTCTCACATAATGATTTTAACGCCTAATGAATGATTGGTATCTGGTAACACATTTATGGTCATGTGTCTGTATCCTCTTTTCATAAGTGCTATTAGAACTAAGCTCTTAATGTCTTAAAAGCGGCCACACTTTACACTCACATAGGTAGCTCCCATTAAAAGTATTCCTGTAACATAATACTCTAACATATTTATGTTATAGGTCTATTAAGAGTATATTACTCATCCTTTCTTTATCATTATGGGTACCTAGCACTTTTACTTTTGATGAAATTATAAATTTATTATAGCACTAGCAGTCACATACAGATGATGTATTTTATTTCATTAAACTCAAGACTTGACGTTATACTGAGCATTGAGTTGAGTTTCCATCATAGGTGACTTTACTTTATGAGCTTGAGCCCTATCCCTATTGAGGTCTTTTTTGCCAATTCTCTAGCAAGATTTTTGGTTAAAGGATTAACCAAATTTTCACTTGACACTACATGCGTTATAGTGATCATTTCATCCAAAATTAATTATTGAACATAACTATGTCTTAAACTAATATATCTAGACTTCCCATTATATACTTGACTATATGCCCTTGCTAAAGTTGCTTTACTATCACATTGAATAAAAATTAGGGAAATTGGTTTAGGCCATAAAGGAACTTCATGTAATAAATTTCTTATCTATTCAACTACTTTAGCTGTTGCAGTTAAAACAATAAACTCAATTGCCATAATGGAATCTGTTATGTATGTTTGCTTCTTGGAACCCTAAGAAATGGCACCCCCACCAAGTACAAAGATCTACCCGCTTGTAAAAGCATGACCTTTCATATTAGTAATCCAACTAACATCAAAATATCCTTCTAAAACTAAAGGATATCCACTATAACACAATCCATAATTGATTATTTCCTTCAAATACCTAAATACTCTTTTAACTACTTGCCAATGCAAGTTACTTGGATTACTTGTGTACTTAACTTTTTAACAGCAAATGCTATTTTTGGCATTGTACAAGTCATTACATACATTAGGCAACCAATTACTCTTGCATATTACAATTGACTGATTGTCCTACTATTTTTCGATGCTAATTTCAATTGAAAATCCATGGGTGTAGATACTGAAATACAATATAAAAGATCAAACTTATTAAACACTTTTTCAATATAATGTGATTGCAACAAGGTTATGTCATTATCATTTCGAA